TTTAGTAGAGACGGGGTTTCACCGTGTTGACCAGGATGGTCTCGATCTCTTGACCTCATGATCCACCCGCCTCGGCCTCCCAAAGTGCTGGGATTACAGGCTTGAGCCACTGCGCCCGGCCCCAGTTATTTTAATTCTAACCAGTTGTTACCACTGTTTCATCTGGTTGAGGTTGGTTTCTTTCTCTCTAGTTTGACCTCAGCTTTCACCTGATGGTGACAGCCCCCGCTCAGGACCAGCAAGGATGACGCCCCCTCAGGAGCAGACGGTTCCTGCTGCCCTCTCCAGAGCTGTCCCCATCTAGCCATCTTAGTCTACATGACAGGCCCAGAGTTACAGAGATACTTAATGATCACGTAATGCTTATCATCAGATAGAAGGAATCATACTAAGTCTTTGAATTTTTTTTTCCTGTTAAAACATTTTTAAAAATAACAACTAATTATAGGGAAAAAGAACCACTGGGTAACTATGGTGGGCAAGGCCGTCACCATGGCGAGCACTGAGGGTTGTTTCTTGTGCCAACTTGTGAACCTGGGGCAAAGCATCCCCACACAGCCCAGTGGAAGTGATCTGGTGGGTGACTAAGTAAGGCATCTAGGTAAGTCACTTTTGATTGACCTGATCAGAATCAAAGTTGATCTTCCACTCCCCTCGGGCAATCTCCTTCTCAGGTTTGTTTTCTCTGTGACGGCATCAGCCCAGGAGGAATACGTGCCTTCACCAGCACTTACTTGTGTTGATCTTCTGCAGGGAGATATGCTTTTCCAGCAGCCTTCGCAGCTTCACCTCGGCACCATACTTGCCCAGGGTGCCATTGTCAGCCAGGATGAAGTGGGTGTGGGAGTTGTTGAGCACAGAGAGCTTACTTAGAGGGTTGGACATGGTCTGGTACACTCTTGTTACCTGGTGAAGTGCACAGCACAAATCAGACCTGCAGGACTTGGACGTTAAGACCAACAAGGGAAGCAAGCACAGTACACACGTGTGCAGAGACCACTGCACTAAAATCTATTCTCGCCTCTCTACCCTGCCTTTGAAGGTTTTATTTTTGCCACTTGTTACACTAAAATGGAAAGAAAGTTAATTGTTTTAGATCATGACAATCTAGCAATTACACTCCTGGCATTTATCACAGAGAAATGAAAACTTATGTTAACCTCAAATCCTGCACAGTAATGCTTACGGTTGCTTTATTTTTAACAGCCAAACTGTTCCTCAACAGATCAATGGTTAAAGAAACTGGCTCATCCATACCATGGGATGCCACTCAGCTATAATGTATACCGATACACATGGCAACTTGGACGCACGTTCAGAGAACTATGTGGAGTGAAAAAAAGCCGGTCCCCAAAGGTTACAATACTGTATGATCCGATTTACAGAATCTTCTTGAAATGCAGTGGAGACAGATGAGTGGTTTCCAGAGGTTAAGGAGGAAGAGGGGTAGGAAGGAATCAGGTGTCTGCATGTGAAAGGGCACCAGGAGACCTTGACCATATCAATGTCAGTATCTGGGTTGTGATCTTGCATTATGGTTTTGCAAGATGTTACTGTTGCAGGAACGGGACAGGGTGCAAGGGAGCTCTCTTATTATTCTTACGGCTGCATCTGAATCTACAGTTACCTCAAAATCAGTAATTAACTTTTAAAAATTGCCAACATTTGCAGAGAAAATACTTACATCCTTTCCAACCAGGTCTTCCTTATTCTCCACGATGCCCCATGGAGCAATTCCTATAGCACAAACCCGGCCTCTGGACTTGGAGGAGTGGTCTTTCAAGGCATCCCCCACGTGGCTGATGACACCTGTGAGCAGCCATCAGTCATATTTTAGGCCCTTCTACTTCCCAGCATACCATCATTCATGAACTTAATGGACACCTGCCCTGAATCCCTACATTCCCTACAGATCGGGGCTGAGACATACTCATCTTTATCATTAAAATAAAGTACACTGAAAGTCTGAGTTCATGATAACTAGTAATCTTGCATTAACTCCAAAAACGGTAAAACAAAAACAGAAACCAAAACAGCTGTGCAGGGAGTTCCTTTACAGATGTCTAAGACCTAAGGTTGGAAATAACTGGAGTCTTTCTGGCATTCCTTGGCTGCCTTCAGTGAAAGTTGAGAGCCAGAGTGCCTCCTCTGTTCCTTCATATCTTTGTGCCTCAGTTTCCTCTCCTGTAACAGGAAAAGGATTGTCAAGAGGTCTAATGAAGATGATGCTTGTACAGGGCTCAGATCAAAGAATACATGTCATGGGTGACCCAGAGATGTTGACCATTATGACAATCATTATTATGCTTGCTGGTCATTTTATTTATTTATTTTTAAGAATCATACCAAAGTAAAATCACAAGTCAGGGAATAAAGACTTCACTTTCGTCATAAACGTGATCAGGATGCAGTATGTTTTGTTGTCTTTAGTTATTAGGAAGCTCTTTGGGGACCACAGTGAGTTCTGGGTGGTACATTTATTATCGGGAGGGAAAAGGCCTGCTCTTACCTGTGCTGACACCCCCGGTGAAGATCCAGGCCCCCGTGGTCATGGCAGCCTTGATCAGGCCTTTCCCAAAGACTTGCTTCAGCTTGGGCTGCATCTCAAAGTTCTGGAGGCCTCCATGCACAGATATTAAAAGCTTGGGGAGTTCCAGCTGCCAGTCTTTCACCATGAGATGCAGCAGCGAGTCTGGCTTGGTGTCATAGGACACACGGATATACTGTGAAAGAGTGTGTAGTACTCAGCCTCTGTTCTTGGTTTTGCTTCTCATGTCAAAGGGGAGTGAGGCTATGGCTCATGTCCAAACAAGAACTGTCTGGCTTGTCTCTTCCTCAGGGCCCTGGAGCCCTCTGTGTGAGTCTGTGGCCAAGTGACAGAAGGGAACTTTGGGGAAGACTGGCAGGGTTAGCAAATACAAATACAAGATGCCTGGTGCCATAGTCTGAATGTTTGTATCCCCCCAAAATTCATGTGGAAACCTAATTCCCAATGCAATAGTGTTAAGAGGTGGGGTGTCCTAATCAGGTCATGAGCGTGGGACCCTCATGAGTGGGACTAGTGTCCTTATAAAAGAGGACGCAGCGGCTGGGTGCAGTGGCTCATGCCTGGAATCCCAGCACTTTGGGAGGCTGAGGCAGGCAGATCACGAGGTCAGGAGTTCAAGACCAGCTTGGCCAAGATGGTGAAACCCCATCTCTACTAAAACCACAAAAATTAGCTGGGCATCCCAGCTACTCAGGAGGCTGAGGCAGGAGAACTGCTTGGACCTGGGAGGTGGAGGTTGCAGTGAGCCGATATAGTGCCACTGCACCCCAAAAAGGACGCAGAGAGCTTGTTCTTTGCTTCTGCCATGTGAGGACACAGCAAGAAGGCGCCATCTGTGAAGCAGAGAGTGGGCACTCGCCAGACACCAGACCTGCTGGCACCTTGATCTTAGGCCTCCCAGCCTCTAGAACTGTGAGCCATAAATTTCTGTTGTTTATAAATTACCCAGCCCAAGGTAATTTGTTATTAGTAGCCAAACAGACCAAGACACCCAGTTAAATCTGAATTTGAGAGGAGCAATGAAGAATGTTTTAGTACAACATGTTTATTAAATGCAATAAATCATGCAATATTTGGGACATACTTGTACTGACAATTTATCCATTATATGTCTGAAATTCAAATATAACTGGGTGTCCTGTATTTTATCTGGCAATCCTAACCTTGGAGGAATGCGTTCCAAAGCTGGCTTAGCTGGAACAGTGGCCCAAGATGTTGGATGAGGATGTTGTCGAGTAAATGGGAAAGGGGATCATGGGCCCACATCTGAACTTGACCTTCTCTTCAAAGTGAGAAGGAGGTTAACAACGCTCAGATGCCATGTCTCCTATGAACTGCTTCTTGGTGTCTGGGCTAATATGTAGGGTGTCATTCCTGAAGACTGTATATTGTGGCATTTGAAACACAACTGAATTTTATTTGAACGATGATGTTGGGCCAGTGAAATAAAATGAAATTGCAAAAAGGCTGTGACTGGGCATGTGGGAGTGTAATTCAGAGTGAGCTGGAACAGATCACAGAGCTGAAGCTTCCCGCCTCTGGCAGGGCTCACTGGAAGGGCAGAGGGCACTCCCTGTTTACATGCAAATGTGAGGGACCTTGGTCTTTCCCGTGCCAGCTGGGTGCAGGCCCAGGGAAGTTGTGGACAGACCTCAGAGGAAAATATTTCCAAAGACTCTCAACCCATCTAAGGGGGCTGCAGGTCCACAGTTATTAGAAAAAGTAATTTGTCTTTCATGACTGAAGATGGAGCAATGGAATATGGTTGCAGGGCTGGGCCAGAGCCTGGTCTGTGGATTCGGAGCTTTGGTATGGATTTATGGGACACTACACGTTCTTTACAGTGGTGTCCAGTTTCCAAGCCTCATGGCTAAAAGCCATGTGCACAGACACATCTCTTGATTTTTCAATGAAATTGTCTAGGAAGATTGAGCCACAGCCATAAAGGAGACCAAGTATCTGCAGTTTGGGGCTGGGACACTGGCCGCCAGTGACAGCTGGGATCCCAGTGGCACCATATCTGAATGCCTTTCTCACCATGGCTTTATTGGAGTATCCGCCACCCTGGAATTCAAGAACTCCATAGGAATCCGTTGGGTAGCTCTGGGTGTGCTTGGCGACAGACCATTTCTCAGGCTGAGCCTCCACCTGTTGGTTTTCCTCTTCATTTTTGCTGGGTGTTGCACTCGGCAGAGGGGGTATATGCTGGCTGGTGAACTGGCCACAGCAACACCTGAAAGCAAAGGCAAAGCAGGGTCTTTCTACAACAATCTTCCCCTTTCCCCTTCTTTAGCAAAGATAAATTAACCTCAACAGGAGTCTACTAACACTTTAGTAAGCCAGCTTTATTAGGGACAGAAATGCCCCTTCTGATGGCCTTTTCCAGATAATCAGTGCATATCTCTGTATATGCTAGCCAATTTTAGACACATTGGATGATTGCCCTTCTTTCTGAAAATATTTTAACTTTTTGATATCTTGAAGTACTGAATAGTCCGTGACAAAGTATAGACATGCCCTCCAAACACAGAGTGACCTTCCAGATTTTTCTTTCCCTTGTCTTTCAGGTTGGAGTGTAGTGGTGCTATCACAGCTCACTGCAGCCTGGATCTCCCCAAGCTCAGGTGATTCCCCCACCTCAGCCTCCTGAGTAGCTGGGACCACAGGCATATACCACCATGCCCAGCTAGTTTTTGTATTTTTAGTAGAGACAGCATTTTGCTATGTTGCCCAACCTAGTCTTGAACTCCTGGGCTCATGCAATTTGCCTGCTTTGGCCTCCCAAAGTTCTAAAATTACTTACTTAGGTGTTAGCCAAATTTTTCAATATAGTTGAATTCTTCTGTTCCTTAGTAAAACATTTCTCCACCCAAGTAACGCTAAAAGGCTATTTCAAAAGTGACCAATATGTCTTTCTCTGCCTTGGACAGATGGCCCACTGGGCCATAACATGCCCCAGCATCAGGGATCTTCTAGTTCTACAGCGTCTCTCCCAAAACCCAGCCTGTCTCTCATGCCCTCCCTGTGCTCTGGCTTCTAGTCCTCTCGGAACATGTTCCCTGGCTTTGTGCCAGCTTTCTTTCCTACTGTGCCTGGGATTTCATCTGTTTTTCCGTCATTTTAGGCTGCCGCTGTTGTGAGTGGACTAGACCCACCAAAAGCTTGAACAGCTTGTAAGGAAGAACTGCAATAGCTTGGAGTGATATCTTGGAAGAGATGGAATCCAGGGACGGCATGCAGGGCAGGTCCGTTCCTGGGCCCACCAGAAGTCTGTGGGGGCAGTTGTGCACCCTAGCAAGTGGGGCGGGTGAGCTGTGGGTGGAAGAGCTGGGGATGGAGTCGGCTTGAGGACTAGGACTGTAGTGCTGGCACAGAGAGTTTTCAGGATGGCCCACGTGCCATTGAAATAAGGAGGGACATGTAGGTGCAACAAAGAGGAGACTTTTGTGACCACTGGCATTGTTTCATAATGGCATGTCTTACCTCTGTGGTAATTACTGGGGTTTAAGCAGGGAGAAGAATCTGCTGGTGGTGTGGGGCAAGGGGCAGCTTGGGGATGTGGAGGGACTGATTGCATGTGTGGAACAAATTTGAACCAGGTGATCTCAAAGAGTGTGTGCTTCCAGGTCATGGTTCTACCTGCAAGGATTTCATATTGGATGAATATAGGGATAAATTGTTCCCCGTGCCCCAGACTCAGCCTCATAGCTTTTGCCCTTAGAGGTGAGACATTTTAGCTACATTAATCTCTGCTTGCATGACTTTACAAGGCCTTTGTAGCTTATAACAGATGTATTTTCATGTAGGTGAATAAAATTGTTTGACATTTTGTCTACAAGCCAAATCCTTTAATAAAGTTATAGCTAGTTCATTCAACTGCTCAGATCTTTCGTGTGATGGAAATTCCTTTTCGTCTAAATACATTATGAAATGCTATTGAAGAAGCCTGGAAAATATCCTGGAAACCTGTTGAAAGCCCTCAGCTCCTTGATCTTGCTAAGACTATGAGGAATGATGTGGGCCCATCTGGTTATGAGAGTTTGCATTAGGGGGAATGGCGGATAGAAACTCTTTCCTGAAGCCCTTTGCATGTCAATGGAGTAACAAGGAGCCTGAATGACTCCTTGGTTAGCGACTCCCATGGGAGACACCCTTCTGGACTCCTCCTTCTGACTCCTACAAACACTAGAATAGTGGTAGACAAGCATTGGTTTGGAGAATATTGTTAATTATGGCTTCCAATTTACCTGTTAGGGTCTTTCGGGCTGGGAATTACAAAGATACATTCCCGTTTGCAAAAGGTTTTCTCTATCCAACATTTCTGACCCTGGAAGAGAGAGAAGTGGATATTAGACCAATATATTCCCAAGCCATCATCAGAGTCCATTCTTATACTTTTATAAAACAATATGTCTGCCCACAACATCTGAATAGTCATCTCCAATAATGGTGGATGAAAGTCTTTCAGGATCTTAGCTCTAGTATCTTTTAAAAGAAATGGCTTGTAAGTATGTATTTGATGGTTCTCATTTTGCACCTTAATTCAGTCATATCCACCTGTTGAAGATATTTTTTGTGCACGGTTCTGTGCTGGGAGCTGGGGAGATTTCCGAGGAGTTAAACTGCAGTGTAAGTGATCTTCACCATCTGGAAATGGCATGTTAGGGGCGCAGCTCAGGGAGGCTACCTGGAGCAGAGGGAGGTGGGAAGGAAATCCCCTGTGGAGGCCCGGCTGGTGCCGAATGCTCAGCAGTTGCTGCTGGCTTTATCCCACATGGAATCTTGTTCTCAGTCACCAGGGACACCTCACACAGAGACTGGACACTGGGAACTGAACTGGCCTGCATCTGAAGGGCCCCATTGGGCCTGCCTCCCAGGGTTTGTGGAGTCAGTTGGTGGAGAGATTTGGGGAGAGCCCTTCCTGCAGGCAGGAGGTAAGTACAGGCAGGCTGCGGGGCGGGGGCTTCCAGGTTCCCCAGAAGGACATGTGGGAGGCAGGGAGACAGCCAACTCCCTTTGCTGGATCTCCACGAGGCCTGGCTCAGTGCGTGTTTGTGCTCTTTATGGATGTACGATGTGCGTGTGTGTGTGTGTGTGTGTGTGTGTTGTGCTATGTTTGTGTGTGTCTGATGGATGTGCGCTGTATGAGTGCAGTGTGTTGTGAGGCATGTGTGTGTACGTGATGAGTCTGTGTGTGTGTTTGTGATGTGTGTGTGGTGTTATGTGTGTGGTATATGTGCAGTGTAGTGTGTGGCCTGTCCATGACTATGATCTGTGTAGCGTGTGTGTGTCTGTGGGGAGATTATAGGGTGGTTGCAGGCATGGGGAAGTGAAGCGCTTAGCATGTGACAATCCTGAGTCAGATCCTAGAGAAACCATGGTTGGCTGAACCTCATGTCCTTGGCCACTTTCCCACAACCGCCATGAGGAGTGCCCTGTGTGCCTGTGACCAGGTGGGACTGAGGTGTCCATGGGGTGAGGCTTGGAGCTGGCCTCCCGGCTGTCCCCATCCACCCAGGCAGCAGTGCTGGTTGGGAGGTCCCTTGTCTCTCGGGAGATCACCTCTGCAGAGGTCTGCAGTGACAACCTCATGTCACAGAGGCCCTCCACAGCAAGGTCATGCCGATATCCCATTTGTTACTTCAGAAGAGCCCCAGCCCTAGTCCCAGCTGTGCCGACTAGGGCCTGCAAGTACCCTCAAACTCAGCCTTTTTGGGGAGATCCAAGTCAGTTTGTTACTTGGCCTTTTGAATAATGGGAATGGTATTAATTCGAACCTTTCCCAGAAGCCTTCAAAAAGCAACACCATACACTTTTCTCTGTAAATAATTTAATGACTGCTTAAAAACACCACCACTGGCCTCAGAGGTTGGTGTTTTCGTGCTAACGCAAGGGAGGCAGGCAGTGTGGGTGCGGGGAGAAAGCATGGTGCAGGAGCCTCTGAAGCCCTGTCTACCCTTCTGTTTGCACTTTTCCCATCTGTTTTGCACTTCTCCAGTGCAAGACAGTGAAGCCCAGCATGTGCTGCCTGGAAAGAAACTGTGTTTTCCCCCTTTGCATCTCATGCCTTACTTCCCAGAAAAGCAAAGAAGCCCTTGTTTTTTTGTAACACAAGGGTTGCAGTATTTGGAATCTATGCCAACTAAAGACAAGAACTTTAAAGAAAGATTGAACTCCCATGCGTAGGTTACTTTTTCTAGAACATAAGATGGCAATTCTGAAGCTGTTTTTTATGTCTTCTAGGACTGAACAAAGAAATCAATATATTGTAGATGATTGGAGCTGGGTTTCTCACTGCTAGAGAAAGGAGTTACAAATACGGAAAGTGGGGAAGGTCTCAATGAACCCTGTGGCACTGAACTAAAATTTAAGTTATCGGTGTGAACTCATGGTTTGTAATATATAGAGACAGGTGTAAAAACAGATATAAATGTATGTGTCGTCCCTTTCTCTATACACACACACATATATGTAAATATAACTTCTGTATTATCTATTGATTAACATAACAAATTGCCCCAAAACTTAGTGGCTTACAACAACAAACATGTATTATCTTTCAGTTTCTACGGACCAGGAGTTGAATGTGGTTTAGCTGGGTGCTTCTGACTCTGGTCTCTCACAAGGATTTGATGGAGCTGTGGGTGGGGGCTGTAGTTTTACGGGAAGGAATAAGACCCAGAAGGATCCATTTCCAAGCTGACTTCTGTGGTGGTTGGCCCCAGGCCTCCCTTAACTCCTAGTCAGGAGATCCTCTTTCCGGGCAGCTCACGAAGGGGCAGCTGACCTCCCTCTGAGTGAGCAAGCGAAAGAGNAAAGAGGGCATGCAAAACAGAAGCCGGTTCTCTTTATAACACGGTGTCAAAAGTGACAGCCCATGGCTTTTGCCATAGTCCATTCATTAGCATTGAGTCACTCAGTCCATCCCACACCCAAGGGGTGGAGGCTGCACAAAGCACGCATATCAACAGGCAGGGACCTTGGGGCTGTATGCCTACATACATATGCACATACCCATGCATGTCTGTATACTTACACTCTCATACATTCTCTGGCTCCCTGAAGGGGCTTCGCAATAACACCTCAATAGCAATGAGCAAACCTGTGCTCCAATACTGGTTTCTAAATACCATTCTCCACTAAAAGGAATCCAGGGCTGGGGCAGGGAAGTATAAGAGCCTGGAACATCTTATTGTACCAGCAAGTGAGAAACTTTGCTTTTGACATGGGAACATGCCAAAAGAACACAGCAGCCACTTGAAGGGCCCCCTAATGGCTTTCTCTGGGGTTACTTGATCATGAAAATAAATGACTATAATGAAGAATTATAACCCTTAAAGACCCATGAGTCTACACTGATATATACACATACGTAAATAAACGCACCGCGGAGAAAGCTCTCTCTTCCGTGGCAAGTCCCTATTAAATGTGGAAGGAATGATGAATCAGAAAATCACCATTTGGCAACCATCAAGAATCTTTGATGAATGCTAAAAGTAGTGGGTAAAAGTTTGAAGAGTAACAATGAATTTACATAATCTCAGAGTATCTCCCATGGATACTTATTAATTACAAAGGAGAAATTAGTAACTTGACAGTGGAGAATTCTGGGGAGAACCACCTCAAAGTGTACATCGCCCGTCACGGAACAAAAATATTCATCATGAGGCTCTGGATGAAATGCACGAAGAGGAACAAAGTGCCCAAAGTGCATCATCTGAACCTGATCCGGAGGAAGCATCATCAGACAGCCCGCACTGAGGCACAACCTACGAAATAACCCATCTGCGCTCCTCAAAAAAACAAGGCCATGAAAGACAAGGAAGGACTGAGGGAAGATTCCAGAGCCTGGAGACAAGACCTGGCACTGTCCCGCCCTAGCCCCTGGCCTGCTTCCAAGCCCTCCCCCATCACCCTCGACCCCGCCCCTCACCCTACCCCGTGCCCCCTACTCCCTTTCATGGCCCCGCCCTTCAACCCTGTCCTCCAGGCCCCACCCCATGCCCCGCTTCAGCCGGGCTTCCTCTCACAGCCCCGCCCATCTCCCCGCCCCCTGCTCCGTCTCACGGCCCCGCCCACTCAACCCAAGCCCCGCCCCAGGCCCCACCTCCCGCCTGGTCCCTCGTACAGCCCCGCCCATCTCCCCGCCCCTTCCTCGCCCTCTCCGCCAGGCCCCGCCCCCAGGCCCCACCTCCAGCCCTGCTCCCGCTCACAGCCCCGCCCATCTCCCCGCCCCCTGCTACATCTCACGGCCCCGCCCCTCGTCCTTTCCCGCACACCTTCCCGGGCAGCCCCTCACCACCCTAGCATAAGAAACTAGCGCTGGGGCCCTGCCCAGAAAACCTGTGCCACCACAGCGTGGGGAATCAGAGACTAAAGGCCAGGCTCCGAGGCTTAGGCCCCACATCGTGAAAGGGGGAAACGCCGTCTGCCCTTAAAGGACTTAATGCCACGGCGGATGAGGGAGCAGCAACGTGCCCCTTGCTTGCTTTTGTGGCTAATTCTGTTCCATCACAGGGGGTGTTTAGATGCCTCCTTCACAGCGGGGCCCCCGGTGCCCTTCTGGTCGTGCCAGTGCAGGGCATCTGTGATGCCTCTGGGGCATCGGCCTTGCATTTTGTCCCCCAAATTCCGAAAAGGAGGGCTTTTCATGGTGCCAAGCACCAGCGCTTGCTTTGGCTCAGTACCAGGGCAAGTGCAGCTGGCACCATGGCCCGAGACGGGCTTAATCCACTTCTTCTGCATCGCTGGAAATCCGGTGTTTCCTAATAAAAACGCTAGCCTGTGACGAACGTACTTTCTCAGGGGATGGGAAGAATGGAAGTGCTTTACTTAGGTATTAACCATTAGTTTGTAAAAAGTTGATATAAGGGAATAGCCTCAGTCCAGCACTGCAAGCTACTGCTGAGTCCCCAGAAATCTAGAACCTACGAGGATAAACAAGAGGAGTGAGAGCCACTTTGCCTGCAGCCCCTCTCTTGGGAAGCAAGATGAACAAATCCTGCCCTCCCTTTGTTCCAGCCTCTGCTCTAATGTGGCCTCTTCACCAGGGCTCCTTGACTCACCATCTGACCCCAACCCCTGTGCCCTGTTCTCCATACACCCTCTCCCCACCTCTTCCCTCTCCCCTCCCCACCCAAACTCGCACCAAAGCCACAGAGGCAGCAGCCCCCTTCAGTTCTCCGCTCCACCTCCTGTGCCTCCAGGAGTACCTGGCAAGAGCTCAACATCTCCTAATGACTCAGCGATTTTCTCAGTCTCCCAGCGGAGCAGCGCCACCTGCTCGGGCTGGGCCCTTGCTAATGCTACCTACAGCAGCAGAGCTCT